TATATTATCTATCTCAAATGAAGGGAGCCTTAAAAATGATCATCCTGTAAACTATATACAAATAGTCCTTGACTTACGACCATTAGTTCAGTGACCATTCAGAGTTACAAATGCATTGAAAAAAGTGACTTACAACCAGTGCCAGAAGTTATAGCCATTGCAGTGCCCCCACAGTTCCGTGATCAAAATTCGGACGCTTGGCAGCCCGCCCACACTTATGATTACAAAGGTGCTTCAGCTCCCCCCACCTACATATGTTCCCCTCATCAGTCCCCTCTTGGCCCCCTGCCGCTCTGCTGCCCCAGCTGATCTTCACCATCTTCTTGCTCCTCACTGTTACAAAATGCTGCATACTTTAATTTCTGTGTTATTAAAGCTTATTAAACATCTATGTATGTATATTTAACATACACACACACACACACAATTTGCTGCTTTATTTTTTCTTCTTTTACTTTTTCTTGTGTTTGTGTTAGTTATTCATTTCTTTTACCTATCAAGTTAAAGAGTAGGTAGGGAACATGAAGATAAAAGAGGTGAATATTCTAATTAAATTGGCTTCACCTAATGCCCAGTTTTAAAACAGCAGTATGATTAAACTTTAAATTTAAAATATATAACTTTATGGATGTCATTTATGCTGAGATTAACATGAAAGCATCAATATGCATGCATTCAAAGATGATACGGTATGACTTTGCAAGCCATTTGCGGTAAATACCTGACTAGGTGGAACATTTCTTCCTGAAGGCTTAGCCTTTCTTCCTGGCTTGTGTGAGTTGGCTTCTGTTCCTTTGAATGAAAAATTAGATAGGATAAGGAACTTTGTTGTGATTCTTGACCATGCTTTGTAATAGTCATTTTGTTTTGCAAAAAATAAGTATTTGTTTAGGAGTATGTAACATGTATTTTAATTTATAAATTACCTATTACTGCTCTCTTCAACTTTTATTCTCTGAAATTCAGCCTTGGCTTTGTACCAAGACTACTTCTGAGGCAGCCAGCATTGTAAGGGTATAATGTGTATTAAAAGGATCATATAGGATGACAATTATGCATTTGTATTTGCAAAGAATCAGACCTGTTGTTTCTGAAATTGTGCATATGGGAAATAAATGTACCTTGATACAAACATAACTGTACTTGTACAGTTAAATTTTTGGCTTTAATTTTTATAGAAATGATTAGATGATTCTGAAACCTGATATATGGCAAGAGTAGAAAAACTACTTCAGGTTTTGTTTTGATTTGTTTGTTTGTTTTGCTTTTTGGTTTAGTATCTGATTATCTGACCCATGAGGTGTTTTCATTGTATTATTTTACAGCTTTCATAATGATACTTCTGTTATTATCAGTTTTTCTACTCTTGCCATATGAGAGAGAAAGTTAAAGTTTGAATGGATTTATCCTTCCATTTAGTAATTAGTAAACTGGATACAACTGTATTTTATTTTATTCATGCCTGCATATTACATTATTTATCAACCTTCTGGAGAGCCAGTATGGTATAGAGGAAAAAAAAATAAGAGAAAAAAATAAAAAGAAAGAATGTTATTTATGTTGTCTTGAGCTCCTGGAAAAAAAGGTGGGATATAAATGTCACAAATAAATAAAATGCATACATTTCTTTCTTTCTGATAAATACGATCTGTTTGTACTTTAAATTAATATATTCACATTAAACATTCGAACTAATTGCAGGAATAACAGGTTATATGACTGCTGTAAAAACATTTGTTGAACTAGTGTCTATTAGTGCTTCAGTCTTTTTTTGTAAGGGAATTCATGATGGGAAATTGAACAACTGACTCCCAGCTTTGCACTACAATTTTGAATACATTTATTTTGAATACTCCCATGTACATTTGAGGTTTATTATTTTCTCTCTCTCTTTCTGTGTATGTGTCTCTCTGTCAGTCAGCCTGCTATATACATATTTTGGTGAATTTGTATTCACTACAGCTATCTTTTAATTTATTAATATTTGATTACTTCACTCAAAATGAATTCTAATGGTTGTACAGTCTGCTTTCTGAAGCTCTTTCCACACTGATGCATGTTCATTGTTACTTGGTGTTATGCATGTGTGAACTTTGATTTGATTTAAGGAAATGGTACATATATTCAAAAGTGGTGGGTGAACTTCCTCTAGTTCAATTCAGATTGAGAATGACGTGTTACAAGTTTAAGTAGGTAATGCCAAGCAGAAGATACAGTGGAAGTCTTGACTTGGTGCTTGGAGGCTGTAAGAGGCTGGATGGGATATAACGAAATAAGTTTAGGATGAATCCCACCAAGTTACGGATAGCATATGTTCAGAAGTCTTTGGAACTCTTCCATTTTTATCTTTGGATGCTGTGGCATTGTCCTAAAAAGCAGGTCTGCAACTTGGGTCCTTCTCAACTTGTGGTTTATGCTAAAACAGCCATGGCCAAAAGGACTCTTGGTTTGGTTGGGATGTCACTTACAGCTTTTGCTAGCTCAAGCAACAATAACTGAACAGACCTTATCATGGTTGAACTACTGTAATTCACTCTACACGGAGTTGTCCTTTAAGGCAGTTTGGAAGCTGTAACTGATCAGAATGCAGTGGTTTAGCTGCTGACCAGTCAGTTCCAGTACAGTGGAATAACACCAGTCTTGCAGAAATTGCATCAATTACCAGTAAGGTTCTGGGCCAATTCAAGGTGTGAATTATAACCTGTAAAGCCCTTTCTTGCTGAGGTCCTTGTTATTTTTGAGACTGTGTGAACTCTTTGTCCACTCTGCATGGTCTGAGCAAGCAGGCTGAGAAGCTGTCCCTTGCAAAAAATCAAGGGGAGGGGGATCAGGAAGCACACTTTCTTGGTGGCAGCACTATTGCTTTGGAAAACCTTCCCAACAAGGTTAAGATGACCCTCTTCCCTGTTCTGCTTTTTTCAGAAAACAGTCAATACATGTTTTTCAGTAGACATCCAGAGTGGAAGATGCAATATAATTGGAAGCAGCCCACCCAGGAAGGAAGTATTTTATTTAGTTAGAGGCTGCGTGATGTCTTTTATTTTGTTAGTTTTAATATTTTATTGCTGTATGTGATTCTGTTTTATTGTGAGCTTCCTAGAATCTTTCAAGGAGGCAGCATGTAAATCAATGTATAAATAATGAATAATATTAATAGAAAAGTTTATTTTTTATTTTAGTAAGATATTTGTTTATAATGCAGTAAGATCCCAGCAATCCTCAGATCATCTCCCCTGGCTGCTCTCTCTCTCTCTTTGTATATATGTGTGTGTGTGTGTGTGTGTGTGTGTGTGTGTGATATGTGTAAATTACCCTTCCTCCTAGCACTTGGAACACCACTAAAATAGTACTGACTTACTTGATAGAAGGCCTGAGCTATTCCAGAATACTTTCTTGCCCTGCAGTGGTAAAAGCAGCCATCAGATAAAATATGAATTGGAGAGTCATAATGCAATGCAGTAATAAATATATTTAGTACCAAAAGTCAACAGTAGTCCTAATCAATTTAGCTTAATAAAAGTCAGCTCAAACAAATAGGTTTTCAAAGATTTTTTGGCCTGTAACTGATATACCCATTGCAGTCCTTGGAGGACTTTTCCACTAAGAGGAAAGTCAAGACTCTTTTGAATCAAGCTCAACTCCTGATGATTGCATGTACACATCTATGTAGTTTTCTTGGCAATAATATATGATGTTATTGCCATCTTCTGGATTTTTGATTCCTGACTTCCCAGTCTACCCCATAGTCCTGGGATTTTTGATAATCTTCTATTCGAGTACTAAAGAGGTCTGATCCTGCTTTAGTTTTTTTGAGATCAGCTGTTTCTCAAATCATAAGTTACAGGTCCTAAATCTGTATATTGTTATAAGGTCTTAAGATTTACACTAATTTATTTTAGCTTAGGGAAACTGCATGCATTCTGAGAACAGAGTAAAAAATGACTGTCTTGCTCAATACTAGGTACATTCTGATGTATTATGTATGATATAAATAACGGAAAAAGATGACCTTGTTGAATGAAATGTCACTTATATCTTATTAGTTCTAATTGAGGATTTTATTTTAATCCCTATTATTATGGAGAGGAAGTTAATTTTCTGAATTATGGCTAGAATAAAGGATTATGTCCTTATAAACACATATGTTGCTCTAAAATTGGATCAAGTTCTAGTAATTTTTTTTTAAAAGATTGATGATTTCAAGCTACATATTATATCGAGCGTATTGTGTAAGCAAATAGCTTCCAGTCCTTGTAAAAACTGCAGAACAAGTAGACCTTGTTTAGCGACCACATTTGGGACCAGCAACTTGGTCATTAAGCGAAGTGGTTGCTAAGTGAAATCGCTACTATGCTTATGATCTTATTCAACTTTCCTTTGCTGAAGGTTGTAAATGAGAGGATTGGTCACAAAGTTACTTTTTCATCACTATCGTAACTGCAAGCAGTCACTGTATGAGGCAGTCGCTAAACAAGGACTACCTGTATGTGTGCAATTGTGGATGTCAGTGTAGTATCATAGAAAAATAGACTTTGAAACCATCTTTTTTGCTTCATTAGGTGATTGCCTACTGATTACAATCGCAGTATGATTCTGTTTCTTTTTTTTAATATTTATTTCTTTTAAACAAAGTGTTAGGAGACTTAGATACACCAAACCTTTACATACTTTCTTTCCACATTTCCTATTCTTCCTTGTTTTTCCTCTTATTTTAAAAAACCAAAACTAGGAATCCTGAGGAGGTGGCTAATTATGCAGTGGTTTGTCATGTGTAAATCAAAATATTTGGGCATGTTTCTTAAGGTAATTCCAGACAACTCTTTTGAAAGAATTCCTTGAAGAATTTATGGCATGGCATGGCAATCAACCAGTCAAAGAACTAAGTTAGAATTCTACTTGACACATCAAATAAGGTCTTTAGAATTGAATTATATTGTTCAGTGTAGCTTGGTTATACAGTTGATTGATTATTCTTTTGTGTGTGTGTATTTCCTTTACAGGAGTGCAAGAGCCACAACATGAGAAGACTATTTCTGTGTCTGCTAATGGAAGTATTCACAGCCCAAAGTTTCCTTACACTTATCCCCGCAACACAGTACTTGTGTGGCGATTAGTTGCAGTTGAAGAGAATATGTTAATACAACTCACTTTTGATGAACGATTTGGGCTTGAGGACCCAGAAGATGATATATGCAAGTAAGTACTGATTGCTGAATTTGCATAAGCTTAATAAAAATTATAGACAATATGTCATACACACTGTGTAGCTTATACAGACTTTTAACAATTTAAGCATAGATGTTTTATGATAAAGGATTAAGTGAAGGATGTCTATTGATATTTATGGGAACCCTTTTTGATTTTCCAAAACATTGGTGTAGCTTTCAAAAAAGCTGAAAACTTCTCTGTTAGAGAAATGTGTATTCACTAGGTAGATATATAGCACTGCCTAGTATCATGCTAAGGACAAATTATAGAAAAAAATCTATTTTTAATGTAGCATAAAAATGTAAATATACACATACACACATGTATTTAGATAGGTCAACAGTGTTGGTTCTTCTTACTTTAATTCTGTTATACTGTAAATGGAGTGTGCTGAGAAAGGTCAGTCTTTCCAAAGCAAATACATAAAACTTGAATTTCAATGGAAAGAGAAAAATCTTAAAAGCTTAGTGATAAGATAAACAGTATAAAAATAGCAGTGTCATTTAATACTAGCATTTGCTGGTTACCAAAAATTGGCCACACAAGACAGCATTCACTCCTTTCCATAATATAACAAATATTACAGGTAGTCCTTGCTTAACAACCACAATAGGGACCAGAAAATTTGTTGTTATGCAGGGTGGTAGTTAAGCAAGTCACACCCGATTTTACAATCTTTTTCGCAGCGGTCATTAAGTGAATCACCATAGCCATTAAGCAAATGACGTGGGTTCCTCACTGATTTTGCTTGCCAGAAGCCAGCTGGGAAGGTCGTAAATAGAGATCACATGACCCTGGGATGCTGCAACTATTGTAAGTGCAAGCTGGTTGCCAAACTCCCGGATTGCGATCTCATGACCATGGGGCTGCTGCGATGGTTTTAAGTGTGAGGACCAGTTGTAAGTCCCTTTGTTCAATACTGTTATAACTTTGGTCGCTAAATGAATGGTCATTAAGTGAGGACTACCTGTACACATATTCACATTTTCAAGTTAATTTAACATAGGTATAACATTGTTTTATGAAATCTCATTTACATGTTGTTGCTCCAATATAGCACTCTATATTACCTTGAACAAAATTGCCATAAGAATCTTATTACTGAAATGCTGTATTGCATAAGCATGATCTATTGAATTCCACCGGAGTATGTTTTGAATATTTATTTTCTTAAGAATTAGCTTGGCAAATTATTAAAATAATTTCAATTACATTCATCATATAAATTTACTCAAATTGCATATTTTACCAAGCAGAAAAAATGTTGCAGATATTTTGGATTAGATATTCAGTTTATTTTGAGTAATGGTAAGCTACTCGACTAAATGAGTGTTTCATAATAATATGAGATATTAATTATAAATGGCCTCTGATTTTATGGTAGAGATCTCATAATAACCCTTCTTTGGAAATTTGTTCAGAAATATATTAGGTGAATTAGCATGTGAGTTTTTTGCTACTACTATATCCATTTGTTGCAGCTAATGCAACTATTTAAAATATAGCAGTTTTAATTGAGTCACAATACTGCAATACTTCTTGATTACTGTTTCTTCATATTGTCCATTTCTTGATTATTGCTTATTCCCATAGTCCATTTCTTACCTGTTCATCCCTTTTTACATATCATTTATTGATTTATTTCGACTTGGACACCATCTGACTCCAGTGGACTCTGGGCAGTTCACGGCATAAAAACAAACAGCAGTATACAGTCCAGATAAAATAAACAATGTACAAAATGGCAAATCAACACCACTGATCAACACCATGGTCTTTCTTAACATTTAAAGCTGTAATTCTTTACAGTGTGTATTATATTATATACAAAAAAGTCACACGCAGCTCACTGAGTATTTTCAGCAGACATGTATAAGCTTGAACTGCATGACTGAGATTGTTTAACATTGTTTATAATATCTCCATACAGTTTCTTACATTTACTGTTTTAAAAAGCTATGTATGTAGGCCATGAGAGGAATGAAGTAGAGTTGCTGTGTTCCTTATAGCCTATTTTAGTCAGCGTAGTTACTGTTTGTAATATAACATAAAAAAGACAGGGACTTTCAAACTCTTTTGGCAGGAGAAATTAGCCTTGTCTGAGCTTTGGTTTCTATATCTTGGTCTGACAGCATATATACTGATGATGCCTGAGGGAGAGTTTCTTAGTATTCTTTCCATCTCCTATGTCTAACGCATATTCATGATAATTTGTTAATGTTCCTTAGAGAATGTGTCAAGGAAGGAATTAAATAAGGCAGAGGAATTTTTCAGCCGCAACCCAGTTACTTTAGATAAGTGTGCGATTTACATTATGTTACTGTTTATTTTTTTTACAAAAATGATTGTCCTAGAAAAAAATAACTTCCCTGGATCCAGACTTATGGAACAAATACAGCCCAGGCCCAAATACCCCTTTTGGGGGCAAGGTGTTGAAGAAAATACTATCTGTACAACTGTAGAACTTCTTGAAGCAAATCAGTTATCTTGACACGTTCATTCTGGGTTCAGTCCTGGAGTCCAAGTCTGTTGATGCTGGATCACTCAAAAGCTTTTGAACTATATTTATGAGACAAGGCATAGAAGTACTCTTTGCTGTTTCTACTTCCTTTTACAAGATAATTTCAGAGGATGTTATTGGGTGACCTTGTCTTGGTACCCTGTGGAGTGCCACAGTCCCTTTACAATCTGTATAAAGGTTTGTTGTTGTTGTCATTGTCCCCAATCCCTTTAAGATCTGTATAAAGCTACTGAGGGTGGTCATGAAGATTTTGGGGGAAAATCAGGAGAGGCTATGCATACAATAATAAGCTGGATGAATAAATTCAGATTGAATTCAGACCAGACTTAGGTCTTATGAGTTTGCCTCTTGTAAACTCTCAGAAGGAACAAATGCATGTTTGTTCCTAGAGTCATTATCAGTTAGAAGTACTGTGTATATGATCTTAGCAACTAGATGTACCTATTGCCAAGTTTGGATGGCTTACTACCTATGCTTTTTCCTTCAGGGCAATAGAATAATCATTGTTGGTCATGCATTAGGAACCTTGTATTTAGATTATTGTGGTGAGTTCTATATGAGGCTCCCTTTGTATCTTGTCTGGAAAATCCAGCTGTAATGAGTTGTATGTATTGGCTCGGTTGCTGACTGGAGTACCTGGCCATGTACTCATCACAGCTGTGTTTCAATAAATGCATTGGCTACCAGCAGCTCCTGGGCCAGATTCTAAGTTTTCTAATTGGCACATAAAGTTCTAAACATCTTGCAAACAGAATATTTATTAGATACCGGTTAGAAATCTGCTCAAACACTATGTACAGGAAAAAAAAAAATCTGTAGAGAGATTTTTTTTTTGAATTATGTATTTTCCTTCTATCCATTTTAATAAATATGTTTTATATTAATTCTGCTAACATCCTTTTTTAATTAAACATATTGTAAAACATTCGTAAACATAACTAGTTTACAAGAATTACCATATGAACATTTTTAATAAATAAATACTTTTTTCCCTACGCTGATCACCTTTTTTCAATGATTACTTTGTTCACATAGAAATCTGGAAGGTGAAGTAAGACAAACGTTCATAGTACTTTCTTCTTCTAATTGCTTCACGTTCTTCTAAAATTCAGTTTTCACTAATAGACTATAGTAAGAAATGCATAGAAAAATGGAATAAGTGTATGTAATTGGGTCTGGATACAGCACCAGAGGATTACCCAAAACAAGCCCTTTCTGTGTAGTGTACTGAAAATCATATTGTTATCTGCTGTAATGGATGATTCTATATTATAGAATTAGGTGACGGTGCTGTGAAGGATGAGTGTCAAGCAGGTGAAAAGGACTTCTTTCTTCCTGTTGCAATTCAAGGAGACAGTACACATGAATTAAGGAAATTATTTCAAACTGAGTCTAGAAAATTTTTCTCTTTGATGTTACTTCAAAGGTTATTTTGTAATACTTAGCCAATTTCATAAAGTTGTATAATAAAATCAAAGCTGGATGATTGGTCCAGTGAATGAATCTTTATCCACAGGAAAGAGTTTGACATCTTTGTAGAATGGAAATTTCTATTTTATTATTTTTAAAACTTAAAATTGTGACAAAACATCACCATAGATCAGTTTGATCAGTTTCCTGAAACAAAACATAAAATCAATCATATTGCAGTCATTTAAATAAACACAACTTTTTCTGCAGGCTTAATGTTTGCCTTCTAGTAGTTTCTTTTTCAGAAACATGATTGGAACTCAGTAATTAGAACTTTCAGTGTGACTTTGGGTTTTTTTGTAATATTCCAAATAAAGTATTTGAGAATTTGGAGAGAAGTTTGAGTTTACTGGAAATCTTGGTGTCTAATACATACACTGAATGTAGGGGGAAAAACATTATTTGTTAGGTTGGGATTGCTTTTCTTCTATGAATATGAAGAAACAAGCAACTTTGTACATTTTTCAACTAACAGTCAAGCAGCATGTTCATTTCATTGTTGTTCTGCTACAAATGTTTTTGTAATATACAAACATAGGAGAGTTCTATAGAGTGATATAGAAGGAAACAAAGGTCAGGCCACCATTGAGAACTCAAAACCATCAGAATGTGGTCTAAAATTGTTCTGTTGCTGAATGTGAGAAATAGGTGGGGACTGACAAAGTTTTTTATATTGTTCTGTACTTGTCAAAAGAAATAGATCTCGTTAGAAAGTGTTGGGTTAACTGATCAATGGAACTGGGCACAGAGGAAGCTCAATCACAATTGCTAGAGCCAGAACTCTAGGGAAGATAGAGAATTATATTATTATACTTGATTGAATTCCCCTATGCCTGAAGATACCTCTTTGTATTAAGGTACACTTAGGAAGTAAAAAAAAAAAAAAAAGAACTTTCTTTGGACATATTTTGAGTAGGTGGGTTCTGGAGTAATGACTGGAGCAACACCTTGCAATGCAATCTAGAATTCATTGGTTGGGTGACTATGAGTGTCTGAA